CAGATCGGTTGGCCAGCTGTCTCTGAATGTTTTCTATCTCTTTCTGTATTCTTTCTGTTGTGCATTCCAATCTTTGAACGTCACTCTGTACTGGGAACCACATCTTGTCGAGTAATCTATATGCTTCGTCTACACAAGCTTCAATAGATTTGAGATAGCTCTTGTGATCTCCTCAATTTCTTCTCTGGTACAGAAGTCTGGTGCTTGAGTATCGGTCGATGGCAATGGAGGGACATTGATTGATAGGTCCTATAGGTGACTCTCGATAGGCTTGTCTTTGGTCATGTCGATCGATGCTGCTGAGGTAGTATCGGTCGATTTGCGCTTCTGAGATTCTAGTTTTTTGCGAAGTGCATGTACTTCTTCTTGCAGGGCTTTCCTCTCTATGTGAGCTAAGTCATTGCTGGCCTTATTCCAATGTAATTCTCCTTGCAGTGATGCTATGGCTTTTTCATGTTCAGACCTCAGTGATGCCATCTCCCAATTATGTTCACCAACTCTTACATTCAGCATGTATGTGACCTCTACTTGTGTGTAGAGCTTGCAAACTGGAACTCCTTTAGCAAACTGTTCAGCGTGCTCTGGTAAACAGAAACAAGAGCGCTCAAACAGTGAGGCTCTATTCAGCAGCTTCCCAATATCTTCTTTGGAAACATGGATGATGTCTCCAGCTACGCTTCTTTCAAAACCATTCTCATCTTTGTAGACACCATATTCGTCTTTCTTTTCCCATAAGAAGTAACGAATCCCAGATCTGAAGGCTCGTTTCCAAAATTCCCGATGTATATCGGTCGATGTGATTCTCCACATATCGATTGATGTGTGTTGAAATTCTGGATAGGCTGAACTGGTCATCTGAAGAATGTCTGAAACATCTTCTATGGAGATTGGAATGATTCTTCCATCCATTGCTCGTGCATGGCCGTCTGGATCCCTGAACATATCAAATTCATCCAAAATTAGTAATGTAAAATCAAAATTATGTGTTTGTACCTCGGATGGTGTAGTGGCAGGATCGGTCGATGGAGTGGCATGTGAATCGGTCGAAAGTCGGAGAGATATTTCGATCGATGGATGTTGCTCTATGTCAGTCGATACGTGTGCTTCTGGTTTGGTCGCATGCATCAGAGGTGCTGTTTGCACTGCGAAACTTTCATTGTTATTGCTTGCCCAACTCCCAATTGAGTAATCTCTGTCTTGTGGCTCATGTGGGACGTAGACTGGTGCACAGTAGGGGTTGTCGCTCATTGATTCGAAACGTCGTTTAAAGCGATCTGGGTTGGGGCATATCGGTCGATGGAGGGTGGTCTCTGTCGATCGATGCTCTAAAGATAAAGGATGGGAGAGGGGGTTTTTCTTCATATTCCCGAAGATATATATACTATGTGGCTCGTTCCTCTTCATAATCTTCATCATACTCCTCCTGAGTAGTAATACTAGCCAGATCTGGGATGTAATGATCGTTCTCCCAATCATCTGCGCTAAAATCGCCTTCTGGAAACTCGTCTTCGATCGCTTGGAATAGCCTGTCGATCGATGACCATGTGTGTCTATCGGTCAACTCTGGTTTACGGGTATCGGTCGATGGTATAAGACTGCCATCGGTCGATACTACTGGATCAGTTTCGTACTCGGGTATTGAATCATACTCATGGGCACAGAAACTAGTTGCTACGAGTGCTGGGCTCTCTGTCCTTGAAAACTTGACGACTGGAATAGGATTGTAGTGGATGGTAGGGCTAATGAGGGTTAGGCAGAGCTTGTTGGATTGTAGGTCACAAACAGCTCCAACAGTTGCTAGAAGGCCCTTCAAAGTAGTAGAGATGTCTTGAAGTTTAGCTTGTTCTCCTGGACGTGGAAGTCTGTAGGAAATAGGGCATCTCCAATCTGTACCTCATAGTTTCGAACTATGTCTCCAGAGTGCTACTGAGAACAATCAACGAAGATGAAAGATTCTTCAGTAGGCTCTATCTTCAGACCTAGATGGTCTGCCATGATCTTTGGTACGATGCTGACTCCAGATCTTGTGTCGCAGAGAGGACGAGGGAACTCAAAACCTCTTATGGAACATAGTATTGTGAACTTCTCTGGATCACTCTTCTTCTCCAGTGTGATCTTCTTCTTTAGACTGTCTCTGACTTGGTGAAACATTCTCTTGATGTCTTCTTCTGTCTCTCTGGTCTCTCTGAAAAACATCCACAATCTGTGTGAAAAGTAGGCTTCTTCAAAGGGTTTCTCTTTAGGTATTCTCAAAACTCTCTTTCTAAAACTTGACAATTCCTTCTCATTAGCTTCCCTTTTATAAGGCTTTGGGATCTTCTCTGTCCTTTTTCTGAGAACTCTTCCATGATTTTCCTTTTCTGTTTCCATGGGCTCAAAGATGTCTGTGGGTCTCTTCATGATGGTGGTGGGAAGGGTACTGGAAGGTTTAGATTGCTCCCGGAGTGCATCAAGTCGTGCAACGCCGATCTTTGGAAGTTGCACTCGACGTTGGGGCACTGTGTATCGATGGACAATGACTGGAGTGGGTCGGTCGATATCGTGGTCTTCATGTCGATCGATGTGGTAGTCATCATATCGATCGATGTCATGAAAATCGATTCGGATAGCGACGGGCAGATGTGGGTGTCGTGCTGCGAAGGCTTCGTGTGACATGATCTTGATGGCACTGCACTCGTAAGAGGCCTCGGCTAAGTCCATCGATCGACACTCGTCAAAGTCTATCGATCGTTGTGCTTTGGAAGGTATCAATCGATACTCAGGAGATCCTATCGATCGATAGTATTCGATTTTTAGTTCGAGGCCTGTCTCATCGTCATCTTCGGAATTTGTCAGCTTCTGCAAAAAGTCATCATCCAAGATGGCATGCACATCATGGAGGGTACCAAACTCTCCCATTCCCTTTGCTAAAATTTCTTGCTTCTTTAGTGCTTCTCCTATCTGAACCACTTGAGTCTCCAACTTCTTTACATAGGTTCTCAAGCTATCAAGCTTGGTGTTGAGGTTGGTGTAGACAGAATCGATCTTTCCATTGAAGTCCATCTGAAGTTTCTGCTGACTCTCCAGAACTTTGTCTAGCATCTATTCTAGCTTACTGTCTTGGGTGGGTGGGGGTGGATTTGTGTAGAATGAGTTACCATAACTCCTGTTGTTGTTGGGGTTGCTGCTGCTGTAGTTGGTAGGCTTCTGTGAACTCTGGTTTAAGTTTCTTTCCGTTCTGCGAAGTTTTTGTATCCTCCTTGGTTTCCAGACCTCTCAAAATCAGCTCCACTGATCTAGTTCACAGCTTCTGTTGTGTAATCTTCTTCAGCTGCAGTTTCTGCATCCTCCACTGAGCAAATCTGCTTGTTTAGTAGATTCTGAACATGATCCAGATGTGCTTGCACTTCATTAATTTCTTCCTTCCCAAGGAATGATGTAGCCTTTGTCTTCACAATGTTTTTTGTGCTGTTGCTTGAAGCTAAGTTATCAATCAACTTCACAGCTTCTTGAGGATTCCTGGTGGTAAAATTGCCTTCACTAGCTGTGTCAAGAGCCATCTGGTACTTCAAAGTGATGCCTCTGTAGAAATTGCAGAGCAGTTGCACGTTGTTGAAAACGTGGTGCGGACAATCTCGCTGGTAGGATTTGAATCTGTTCCATGTGTCCTTCAACGATTCTCCAGGATCATGAGTGAATGTAGCAATTTTCCTCCTCCATTCTTCAGTGCGTGAGTCATCAAAGAAATTACGCAGGAATGCGTTTTTGATGTCACTCCAGGTTGTGAGAGAACCTGGTGGTAGTTGTCTGAGCCACTACAAAGCTTCTCCAGATCGAGAGTATTTGAAAAGCTTGCAGAGAAGATAGTCTTGAGGGACTCCAATGGATTTGATGAAGGTTATGAGATCCTCGAACCTATCCAGATGGTCCATAGGATTCTCATGGGACAACCCACAGAAGGGTATTTGTCCTACAAGTGTGTAGTACTACAGCTTGAGCTCAAAATCTCCTCTCTGAATAGCAGGGGGGCATATGGCTGATCGGTTGGTGTAGAACTGATCCGGACGGTTTTAGTCAGCCAAAGTTCGAGCTCTGTTAGCCTCTTCTACAGGTTGAATAAGATCTGTAGGTGCAGTCTCTTGCTCAGGAATGATCTCCTTCTGAGCATTCAGCTTCTGACCTGCTGCATTACGCAGGTGACAATCTTGATCACGCAGGTCTCCATTCTCATCAGTAGTGAGAATAATAGTTGCTACTATGTCTCGCCGGTTAGTATCGATCGATGTAGGATGAGGTATATCGATCGACATCTAGTGAAAGATATCGGTCGACGAACGGTTGATAATGTCGATCGATGGAAGGGTGCGAGTATCGGTCGACGAAGAAGGTGTCTCGGTCGACTGTGGTAAGCGAATATCAGTCGACGAACTGTGGTTGATGTCGATCGATGTGGAACGTAAGTCTCTGCGGATGCTACGTTCCAAACTGTGGGGATCTTCTGAGTACACAAGTTGGTTGTTCTTGTTGCTTATAGTACTGCTGGGCATGTACCTGAAAAAGACAAGAAATTTTTTTTGTGTCACAAGATAATTAAACAATAAAAAGAAAAATAACCTAGACCTAATCAGATTAAATCTAATGGCGATCTTAGTTCCCTGGCAACGGCGCCAAATTTATTATCTCAAATTACCCTAAGGAGTGAATTACTCTCTCAAATAACAGGTTCAATTGTAGTACTTAGGGATCAAATCCACAAGGAACTATGGAACACAAAAGATATAATCCTAAGTGACTATGCTAGGTTGATTAAGGTTTAAAAGTAAATTGCAGTTGTGAGCAATGGTGAGTTGCTCAAGAGAGTTTAGTTTAGGTTTTAAACAATAAAAAAAGTAGTTAGATTGAAGGCTACTATTCAGATAATTAGGATCAACATAGAGACTAGATAAGGACACAACATATATTCACCATGAACTCCATGTTGACCCAAATCAAATATAGCCTTTCAAAGGTCTCCACTTTCATCACAGCAGAATCAAAGTGTTAAAACTTAAAAGTAACTTGGAAGTAAATTCTTTTTCTCCTGTCTGAACAACACTTGCAGCTGACGGAGCCGCATATGCAGCAACCATAGACAATCTTCCAAACCCCTATCATATTTTTTTCAAAACCAATCATTATCAAATACATCATCACACCATTCAAAACAAAACTGAACACCCAAAAAATGCATCCAAATCACCTGAGACACGACGGAGAAAACATCATCCTGCTGATTACTCATAGGCACAGGACCCGAACTCGATCCAAACCCAACATACTTCCCTCCTTGCGAAGGAGGACGCCCCTCACACTTAGACTCATTCTCCGCCATCCTCCTCTCAAAGAAACTCTCCTTTCCCGCAGCCTCCAGCTGCGACCTCGTGTAAACATCTTCCGACGACCTCGACTTCCCCCTTACACCACCACCTCCTCCTCCTCCTCCCCTAAAATAATTCTCCAAATGATTCCGTCTCATATCAGATCTAACTGAATCATCACTACCCCAAGCATCCCATCCCCCTCCACCACCACCGCCCTAAGCCAACGGAGGCTACCTTAACAACATGTGGATCACTCCACGGCCTACCTTCAGTCAATGCTATCCAAACCAAGGCGGATCACTTCCAAACCTCTATCGTTCAAGAGTTCTCTTCTCCTACAAAGACCTTTGATGATGCTCCGCTTTGCCACCGGAGACGAGATAGAGAGCAAGCTACGGAGATACAAAGATCGATTTGTAGAGAGCAAATAAGAAAATAATTTATGTATGTTTAATTATCTAGGGTAGAATGGTCTTTTGCCTATTAAAATTTTAAGAGTAAAGATGATTAGTGTAAAAGTGAAACAATATATCATGAATGTGCTAGTTTTGGCAAATTCTCATAATTCTATTAGTACAAGTGTTAATAAACTATTACCTATACAGATTTCATAGATATTTATTTCAATTTAGTTTTTGAGAACATTTATCTTGATGACAAAAAAAATATCATATATCAGTTTATATATTTTGTTAAAAAATTAAATAAAAATACATAATTTTCATACTCTATAAATTGAGATGTGGTTTATTTGATTTGGATTTTAAAAAATATTTTCGACTATAATATTGCTATTATTCTCCGTTGTATCAAATGGATCAAAATAGTATGTTTTTTTTTATATTCAGACTTTACAATTATCCTTCCAATTTTCAAAATTTCAACAATTACCAATTTTTAATATTTTTTAAAAAAATAATTATGAATATAAATAAAAATATTAAATTGTTGGGGTCAAAATCGGTACGATGGAATTAATAGCCAAAACTCCCTGCGAAAGTACCAAAAGAACAGTTTTATAAGACCCGAGGAATGGTGTTATAGAACTGTTCGTCATTTATAAAACTCGCAAAACAGTTTTATAAAGCTCGAAAATCGTTTTATAAAACTCGAGAAATCGTTTTATAAAACTCGAGAAATCGTTTTACGAAACTCGAGAATCGCTTTATAAAACTCGAGAAATCGTTTTATAAGACTCGAGAAATCGTTTTATGAAACTCGAGAATCGCTTTATAAAACTCGAGAAATTGTTTTATAAAACTCGAGAGCCGCTTTATAAAACTCGAGAAATCGTTTTATAAAACCCGAGAATCGCTTTATAAAACTTGAGAAATCGTTTTATAAAACTCGAGAATCGCTTTATAAAACTCGAGAAATCGTTTTATAAAACTCGAGAGCCGTTTTATAAAACTCGAGAAATCGTTTTACAAAACCGCAAAAAACCGAAAAAGCCGTGAAACGCGAACTAGTCGCAACTAGTCTGCCCACCGGCGATCTAAGCCAAACTCGGCTTAGATCGCCGATGGGCGATCTAAAAAACACTCTCTAGATCGCCCATCGGCGATCTAAGCCGGGCCCGGCTTAGATCGCCGATGGGCGATCTAAG